TTATTTTCAATAAACCTGGGACAACAAAAAAAAAAAAAAAGAAAGAAAGAAAAATGCATAAATTGAAGCACAGAGAAGAAACAGAAAAATCAGAAAAGGTGTAAGAGATATAGTGGAAAACAGAGAAAAGATAAAACATACGTGTAACTGAAATCCTAAAGACAGGGCAGAGTGAAGGGAGCAGTAGCAGTATTTTAAGAGAGCAGCCACCTCTAGAAGCCAGATCTCAGTTTTTAATGCCATGCTCCAATGCAGTGAACCAGGAGTCCTTGGAGAAAAGGCTGAACTCTAGGGCTGGGGCAGGGAATGAACACAACAGACCTTCTGATAGTGCTAGAAAGTGAGGAAGCACTCAAAGAAACCCACAACAGTAGAGTCAGTGGGACACAGGAATCAACTGAAAGAGCTCTCAACGGCCAAAGCTGGAGCAATTAGAACTACAAAATAATAAAATGTACTGAATAATCATCAGAGTATAAAATATCCATGAGTCCATACTGAAATAAATGACAGAATGCATCAATAAATGGGAGACGAGAGACAAATTTCCTGTGCTGAAAAATTCCAGATAATTTATATAGGTATTACGCCCTCAAGGAGGTGGTCCTAACTCCCTGCTCTTTAGTGATTTCCTCCTAATGAGTACAGTATGAAAAGGGAGGAAATGAAACCGCCTTTGCAAAATGACGACCGAGACTGTGAAGAGATTGAACTTCACCGAATCCATCTTGCTTCTAACCTCCAAGCTGTCCTTGGTCATTAATGGGTGTAGGCTGAACTAACTTGGGGGGAAACTTAGTTTATAGCTTACAGTTTATAGTTTAAAACAAAGATAATAAGAACCCTTTCCCAAAGCAGACCTCCTTCTGGGTCTGGGGACTAGACGGCTTTGGTAGGACTAACATTAGTCACAGGATTAGAAATTCGGGTTTGGGAGTCCTGCAGCTGGCGGCTACGAGATGCTGCCCCTCCCTAAACGGCCCCTAAGATCAGAGCTTGAGATATTTTGCAGACCCTGCACTTGGTGGAGCAGCTGCACCACCGGATCAATAAACCGGCTTCTCTGATCTGTGGCCCCGACCCAAGAGCTGACTCAGCACAAGAAGACAGCTCTGACTCCCGACGCTCTCAGCTCTGACCAGTCAGCACTCCTGGCTCACTGCTTCCCCTACCCACCAAGCTATCCTAAAAGCTCTGCTGCCCGAATGCTCGGGGAGACGGATTGGAGCGATAAGAAAACTCCAGACTCCCTCACAGCCGGCTCTATGAATTACTTTTTCTCTATTGCAAGTGCCCTGTCCTGATGAATCGGCGCTGTCTGGGCAGCGGGCAAGGGGAACCCCCTGGGCAGTTATAGAAAGAGTAACTCTATAGTGAAGAAACCTGAAAAACACTACCTCAGGCAAGTAGTCAAAGTTCACATCAACAGTAGTATGTCATGCTGATAGTATGCCATTGATATGACAAGAATGGCATTTTACCTCTGTGATCTTCCTTCCAAAAACCTGTAACCCCCAATTAATCATTAGCAGAAAAATCCCAACGGAGGAAGGGACATTCTACAAAACACCTAACCAGTCAGCACTCCTCAAAATTTCAACGTTAAGAAAAACAAGAAAATCTAAGAAATGATGTATCAATACTGGTTCATTAATTGTGGCAAACGTTGCCTCCTCTGTATATGTTAATAACAGGGAGTCCAGGTGCAATAGGTCATGCCTGTGATCCCAGGGTTTTGGGAGGCTGAGCCAGGGGGACTGGTTAAGCCCCAGAGGTCAAGGCTGCAGTGAGCCATGACTGCATCACTGCACTCCAGCCTGGGTGACAGAGCAAGACCTGTCTCAAAAACATAATTATTATTCTTATAATAATAGGGGAAACTGGGTGTGGAGTATATGCAAACTCTCTGCAAGTTTTCTGTATATGTAAAACTATCTTAAAATAAAAACTTGATTTTTAAAATTTTTATTTATTTATTTATTTAGACAGAGTCTCACTCTGTTCCCCAGGCTGGAGTGCAGTGGTGTGATCTCGGCTCACTGCAACTTCCACCTGCAGGTTCAAGCAATTCTCCTGCCTCAGCCCCCTGAGTGGTTGAGTGGCTGGGATTACAAGTGCACACTGCCATGCTCAGCTAATTTTTTGTATTTTTAGTAGAGATGGGGTTTCGCCATTTTGGCTAGGCTGGTCTTGAACTCCTGACTTCAAGTGATCTGCACGCCTCAGTCTCCCAAAGTGCTGGGCTTACAGGTATGAGCCACTGCACCTGGCCAAAAACTCCTTTTTAAAAGAAGGTAATGGCTAAGAATTTTGCCAAACTGATTAAAAAAAAAAAAAAATCAACCCAGCTAGGTACCGTGGCTCACACCTGTAATCCCAGGACTTTGGAAGGCCACGTGTGGTGTCGGGCACCTGTAAGCCCAGCTATTCGGGAGGCTGAGGCAGGAGAATCTCTTGAACCCAGGAGGTGGAGGTTGCAGTGAGCCAGATCGTGCCATTGCACTCCAGACTGGACGACAAGAGCGAAACTCCACCTCAAAAAAAAAAAAAAAATCAACCCATAGATTCAAGAGATTCTGCGAGCTGCAAGCAAAATGAATATAAAGAAAGCAGTAGTGGCTAGAGAGGACACACCACCTTCAAT